TCGTCGTGGAAGCAGAGCTCACTTAAGAAAGGCGCAGTTCCTCCTCCTTCGCTGCACCGCAGGTCGAGCAACACCTCCCAATACGACAGTACAATTTCAGTTCCACTATCTCCACCTCCTTTGTCGCAGACACCACCACCGTCCTTGTCCACCTATTCCTCCTCCTCACCCGTCCCTCCAACCTCTCCAAAATCACCCGGGCCCAGCTCCCTCACGCTCAAGCCTCACTTCCTGGAGGACCTTAACCGCACCCTTAAGAGAAAGTCCATGTCTCGTCACGGCTCGCTCACCTCCACCCAACTTGTCCCCTCTAACAAAATGGAGCCAGTGGGCACTATGGACGACATGGCACTCCTGCCGCCTCCTCCACCAGAGCTCCTGCACCAGCAGCAGCACGGCGTCCGAGGACAGTCCCACACATTGTCTCGTCACCACACCCACTCCCAGTCCGCCAAACACACCAACATCTCAGGCTATGCAACGCTGCGGCGGGGGCCTCCACCCGCTCCGCCCAAAAGGGACCAAAGCACTAAACTGACCAGCGAGTGGTAGACGAGCAGCGAGGACGTGGAAAACACCTTCGGGGTTAGCTAGCTCCTGCAGAAGATGAAGTCTTCAGCGTCCCCTTGTCCTGAAAGCATCCATCCTTTTGGAAGACTGATTATTCCTGACTCATTCCTATATTCTCCATTATGAATATCACTAGCACCACATGTTTAATCCAATGACATGAGTTTAAAAATCCTATACAGATGTATATAAATACACTATATACATGTATATCTGTACCGAGCAAGAACAAGAAGAATCACCTATCCAGCTTTTTTTCCACAAAGTCTCTGCAGCTTTGCATCAAACAATATTGGAGAAGGAAGCAACAGGCGCAGCAAGTCGCAAAAGTTACCGGTAACTGGTACTGCATGGAGCAGCGGAGAGGAAGAAGGAATGTGGTAGACAGGAAGAAGGGATGAAAGGAAGGATGCGGAAGTGTGTATAGAACAGTTGGAGGACTCTTGTAGCCTTGAGTGTTGTCATTTCTTTCAAACTTCTTTGTGTGTCTGTTTTTATATAAGATTATTTAATACTGGAAAGATATTGTTATTATAATAATTTTAAGTTTTTGAAAAAGAGGTGTAAGAAAAAAAAGAAGTTTGTCCTGGACTCGAGTCTGTGTGTTTTCCTAGTGATAGGATGAAGTGTTTGCCTGGTTGCACTCATTTTGTTTGTTTGTAGCTAATTTGACGTAAGAACTTGTGTTCGATCTTTAAATTCAGAGCTGATTCCATATTAGTCTTGAAAGGTTTGTGCTCAGACCGCGAGAGGTTTCAGAATCCAGACTCACTTGGATTTGAATTTCTGGTACAAAGATAACTGAACTAGAGGGAAACACTCATTATATTCCATGTCTTCCCTTCCCTCTGTACATTTGATTTTTTTTTTAAGACAAGACATTTTTTTTCTTTTTAAAATGTCACAAAAACTCAACTAAAACCTCTCGCTGCCTGAGCACTGCCCCCTGTCCTTAGACGTAGGTTGACCTGAATGCTTCTCCGGGTTCAGTAGAATTGGATTTTAAGACTCAGTTGTATTAAGTATAATCACAAATTTAAAAAAAAGTAGCATTACAGGTAAAATGCAACGTAACAAAGACCACACTGTGATGTTGCATAGCATTTGTAATGCTATTTTGAGCATGCGAGGAGCAAAAGGCATCCTCTACATTATAAATGGTCCATGTTGGACCAAATGTTTTTAGTATTTTTCCTAAAACCAGAATATGCTAACTCAAATAACTGCAGTTTGAAAAAATACTTCTTTTACTTCATCTTTATATTGTAATCCCATTTAAAGGGAAAAGTCATTACAGGATATGGGAGAGTTGAAGGGGTGTAATTGAGACCAATTGAGATTGTTTGAGTCAAAATTCCTTAAAATGAAAAAAAAAGACCATCTCCAATTATAGAATACCTTTAAAACACACCTTGGTACTAGATTAACTGTTAGCAAACTGTTTATCCAGAAACGTTACTAAATCTGGTGAAGCACTCCTGGTTTTCCTACTATATGTAGCATCACCTTTGGTTCCAACAGCACCACCCTGCCACCCCCTTGCCCCCCAAATGTAAAAAGGATTTGTCAGCTCTGACCTCGATGTTTGCGTTGGCTTGTAGACCGAGCAGCTCCTCGCTCCAACAAAGTGTCTCAACAAAAGAAGGCGATGATCTCTCTGCCAGTGAACAAATCAGTTAACAGTTAGTCATCTGAATGGCTGGTCCATCACTTGTGCACATTTGTTTTTAAAAGGTGCTCCTCCACTCACAGTGCTTTCACATAGGCGGCCAGCAGCAGGGTTCCTGGTCAGGTTGTAGTGGAACTGCATAACAGTCTCCTTACTGCTGTACTGATGTATGGCCTCTCCTTAAAGTCCTGGAACAAGAACAACAACGAATCAGCAAGATGACCAACAAAGTGCCAGTGTGAAACACCTGAGTGGCGTTTGTGATCAGAATGACTGAGGGAACAAGTGCCTGAAAACCAAAATGCCCAAAACTGAACTCAAATCCAACTAAGTCAGAATTCCCTCTGATTTGTTTTACTGATAATATACTATAATAATAAAACAAATGTCAATCAATCCAATTTAAACACACCCAGAATGACTTTTTAGTGCTTGGAGTTTTCCCTTTAAACAAAAACCCTGTAAAAAAACAAAACCTTACAGTAAACAACAACAGTCACTGTGGGTTATAGTTAGAATTAAATCCAAAAGGTTTTGCAGCTAGATTCAACAATATGGTCACAACACAATAACTATCCCATCAGTTGATCTACATTTTTTCACACCTCAGTCACAGAAAGAACATTAACTGTCATTCTAACATAAGTTAAAGAAAAACAATTCTATTTATGTAACCTGCATTACAATACAACTGTACCTTCACCTGTTTCCTGTTTCTTTTACCAAAACCCAATTTTATATTTGTATGTGCAATCACATTGTTGTTAAATAATGTTAAATTTGATTTCAGATGTAAGTTTTTTTTTCCTTATGTCCTTTTTGTGACATTATTCTGGGGAAGTAAGAAGGACAAACAGATCAATAATTAAAACTCATCCTGGTGTGTTTTAGTGACTCTTCATTACAAATGTGTAAAATTGATCAATATCTTCAAATGTTTTTTTTTTTTGTTTTGTTTTTTTTTTTTTTTTGTCACAATGGACATTGAGGCAGAGCAAAAGACTGACTGGTGTCAAACCTACTGTTACATTTTAAATAAAGGAAAAAATGAGTCAAAACACAGTCAATAGGTTTTTGTTTTTTTACACAGGATAAATGTGATTCTTCTTAGACTAAAAGTCAAAAATCTCCAGAATGAAGTAAGAATAAATAACTTAAAAAATTAATTTCAAACAATGTTGACTACAATGTAAATAGTTTAAAAGCCCCAGCATGTTTTGGCT